CCCTGCCCATATTATTTCTCTGTCCCGCCTGCTTTCTGCCACAGCGTGCCAGTAAATTTCACCTTGCCAATTCTGGTCTGATCCGGCCATAAGTCAGCGTCTGATTAAATGGCCGGAAGGAAAAGCAGCAGAGCTCTCAGTCCCAAGGACCATAAGAGAGAATCACTGGACTAGAGAGAATGTTCGCAGTATATCGAGAAGAATAATAAAAGTCCATTGTGTTCATTAAAAGTTCCTTAATAGTCTCTACTTCTACTGCTATCATTTGTTTAGTTTACTTACTTTTACCAATATAGTAAACAACATTAACCCTTTACCCTCCCCCACTACAAAAGCATGATTTAGATAATAGCCCCCCCCAATTGAAGAAAACTACTGGCACAAGTCAAGTGTTACCTGGGGACCTCTAGTCCTTTGTAATAATTTACCCTTCGCTAGGCCCCGCCCTCTGCTACTCCGTCAAGCTGTCAGAGCTACGTCACCATGGAGCCCACACTGTCACTAACTGCACTCCCTGAAGAAATATGATGTCATTTTTGGAAAGCGCTGTCAGAGAGAAGCAGACAGAAGGGTGTACAATAGGTGTTTGAAGGGTGAACCCAGGGTGTCAAAGTGAACAGGTTGAAAAGATAAAGATAGAAGCTGAAGCCGACTTCCATCAACTGCAAATGCGATATCGATCAACGGAGATCAATCTGCAAAAACAGCACAGACGTGTTGACTGATGACTCATCGATCATTTATAAAAGGTCTGTCTTTTGAAGGTAAATGTGTTTTGAAAAAGCGGGTTTTCTTTTGGCGAGTTTCGTACAGAAAACACCCGCTGTGTGCTCTCTTGTTACCAGTTCTTCTTTTGTTCTACAGGGACGTGTTAATGTTGTGAAGCCCTCCCTCGGGGCCTCAGGTGCTGTACTTTTAATGTAATGCTGACGTGGTATTCACAGAGATACGCTGCAATTGTTCCTCGTAAACTCAATAATTGGCCTTTTCGTGCTCAAACGTGTCGGGAATAATTGGTAACAGGAGAAGAAGTGCACAGGTATTTTTTCGGCGCCGTGTCTCGATTTGTTGTCACCCAGCTACTGAAATTATTCTCCCATTTGTGTATTGGGACGAAATTAAGCTTAAATCAAAACCCCTTAGACTCATTGTAGTAATTCCCATGTTCTATGGTGAACATTTAACAACTCTGATGGTGGAGGTTTGACGGTTCAATAACACCGTCCGTATTCAGCAAATTTTCGCTTACTAGGTAAATCCCACTGAGCCTCTCTCAGCCATCTTTCTCTGTTCTTGTAAATATTTTTGATCAACTTTTAGCATCCCTGACTTCTGTTAGCTTCATACCGCAGTCCAGCTTTTGATTGTACCAGAACAAAAGGGTGATCTAACCAACTGCTCACATGTAATAACAAAATCTTAACAAGCACAAAGCTGCAAAACATAACAAGAAACATGATATTCAGTGTTTTTCAGTGATTTCAATCGCGTGTTAACTAAAAGGCTGAACCTTAATTTGGATAGAAGTGTTCAAGTTTGGCGAGAAAGTGGAATTACAGTCTTAGCTATCCACGATTCAGAAACTTCTTATAAAGTTATTTTGTTCTGAGCCGGATCTTCTGTGAAACACTCTGAATGAAAGCCAATTAGCAAGTGATGGAGAGAAGAGCCAAAACCACTGGTGTGGTTCATTAACATCCATGAGACGGTTATGTTTTCACTCCTTCAGCAATGGTAATGGAGCTCTTAGTGTGCATATATATGCAAATATATATTTCTGTGTGTGTGTGTGTGTGTGTATCTAATCATATGGTGCATACTTGACATACCATCAACGTCTCCTGTGATGGGGCTGAAAACAGTGCTAGAGATGTGATTAATTGACCTGTGCTACCGCGTGCATCGATGTACAAATGGCAACGGTGTTTAGCAAAAGACGGAATTAACCTCTGCCATTTTGTGTCACTTTGAGAGCTCGTTACATAACACACGCACACGCACACGCACACACACACACACACACACACACACACACACAGAGCCTTCACATTCTGTCGGTGTCTATCTTTACCACAGTCGGCTGAATAGATCGCACTGCAAGGCTTCAATCTCCTTCAAATCAATCACGGTGATGATTCTGTGTGGAAAAAAAAAGAAAAAGGTGAAATAAAAAGCCTGTCAGGGCTGTGAGATCAGAGCATGTCAATGCCTCACTTAAGACAGCTAGTCTGAAGGGGGAGCAAGACGGAGTTCACCTGCATGCAAGACAAAGCTTTCGCCTCGGCCTTTGAGTGAAGCGATGCGGCAGAGAATGGCGAGGCCGCACTCCCTCACGTAAACATCATCTGGATAAAAATCAATTTCGTGATTCATTCCGAGAGGTCGGGACTTGCGAACGGACAGAGTTGTCCGGTCATTCCGACTGCAGCGGGAATGACCGGGCGCTCCTGAGCCAGGCAGGGAGGATTGGATGATTCTTCAAAAAAAAAAACAAAAAAAAACACAACATCATAGCTCCTGGTAACATTTCAAAAGTCTGGCTGATTGATTCTTGTTTTTGTTTTTGGTACACCCCCCCCCCTCCTGTGGCATTGTTGCTTCTCATTTCCAACACAGCATGAAAGGCAATGAAATAAAAACATCTTAGCAGCAAATCGGCCTCACCATGGCAACAGTATTGATCAACCCTCCTGGGTCCCTCAGACAGAAAAAAATCCATCTCTCATTTCAATTTCCCAGCATTAACAGTTCAGCAGCTCCTCGTGTCCCGAACAGACAGCCATGATATTTACATCTACGATCACTATTTAGCTGCTCTGATGAGTCATTTATCACAGAGGCGAGTCCCAAAAAGACCCGATGATACTCATGAGAACAAAGGAGGCCAGCAGGACGGCTCAGCGACAGGTCATCCACCGAAAACTATGTGTTTTTGAAGTTGTTTTACTTCAAAGTCCATTAGATTGCTTAGTTATGGGCCACATCCCATAATTAAAATCGACAGCAAATTGAGAGCTTTCTCCCAGAGCGCTCGTTTTGATTTGAGAAAAACAATCTGCTTCGCTTCATTTGTCATAACTGAACAGGTGTTGTATCGAGCTTTCTGACGATTTCCGCGTGGAACCGTTTGATACTTGATGGACTGCGGTTGCAAACAATCTCGGAAACGTGTAATGGCTGACGCACGCTCATCAAACGCTGTGAAAACTAATGAGGGCGGATGGGCTGGGATTGATTATACGGCATCGCTTAATTCATCATCGTTTATTATCGCCGCTTTCATCGCCACCGCCGGTACCATAGAAGAAGAAAAAAAGAAGAAATAAAGTGTGCTGCGGGGCAAAAACAGGTTCAGACCAAATTCATCGTGTGATGGATTTGACCGAGGTGTTTGAATCCACCTTTCTGGCAACACTTTAGGGAAATGAGAAGAAATACAGAGCTTCACAACTGCTGTTCAAACACGGCACACTGGGCTACAGCTACGCTCCCACAGGCTGCTGTGAGGAGGAGAGAGGAGAGGGAATAAGGAAATCATCTCTCTCTCTCTCTCTCTCTCTCTCTCCCCCTTAAAACTCTGTGAATTCCCCAAATGCAGACATAATATTATGAAGCTCACATGAAACAAGAAAGAAAAAGGGAAGTCTTACAACCCCTCGAACTCTGCAACAAATCAGTGCATTGAGAATGCTTCCAAGTAGCACTGGAGGGTTTTAACCAACTTGAATGATTAAAAATTAATGTATTAACTCAGCCTACATAGAGTGAATAAAAATCAAAGGATGAAGGTTGCGGTTTGGAACCATCAGTCTAAATGTCCAGCCAATGGAGCCAGAAAAAACCCAAGAGCCAAAAAAAACAAGAGTGTTGCATTGGTAAGTGTGTGTGAAACGAAAAAAAGAAAAAGAAAAAAGGAAGAGGGGGCCTAAAAGCATGTTAAGTGCTTTGATGGTCTTACAGTTAGACAGCTACTTACAGCCAGGCCCCACGGTTTTCTGTCTAATTGAACCGAAACAAAACACGACAAGCCTGGGACTTATACTCTGCAACCACAGATCATTAGCGCCAACACTGCAGCTCCGACGAGCCTCGGCCCGCTTGTGCCCGCGCTAGACAAAACTGCACAGAAGTCTGCACATTTGCATCCACATGGCATTTCAAGTAATTAGATATTTTGCTATGGAGATGCATTTTAAATAATTAATCTGCTGTATTGGTGCCCTGCTGCGTTTTCCCCCCATCGTTTCCACTGCAGCACCAGCAGCGGGGCGAAAACACAGAATAGTAAGAGTCTGGAATAGAGATGTTCTGCCATACAACCCAAAGCTATAACTCATTGTGAAATTATGCTGCAGATCCATTTGGTTTACTCGCAGCCAGCGAGCTCAATTAGGGCGCAAAGTATTTGAAACAAGCTCATTTCAAAGAAAGAAGGGGGGACACCCCTTGTTGATAAAAGCAAGTCAACTCCTCCATAAATCAGAGGCGTTCAGCTTCACAACGATTCATAAAACAGAAAAATGCCTGCAGTCTCTCCGCGCATGCGATCGCATGAAGCAGGCCTGTTAAATCCTCAAGAGGGGGGTTGTTGAGTTTGGGGTGTGATTGTGTCAGGCTGTCAGTGCCCACTCATCCAGACTCCGGAGTGAGACTGGAACAGACGGGTTCTTTCAGCACCACCGGGGACAAGCAACAGCACACTCAGCTGTCTCATCCACACAATGTGTAGTGGGTGGGTGGGGAATTACCCAAATTCACTATTTGAAGATGGAGAGAAGTCTAGATGGATATTAGTAATAACAGGCATCAAATTGAGAAATAAATCGAAAAAAGAGGCAGAAAAAGCACAAATTATGCGTTTTGTTATTAACAGTTGATTTGTTTCTGTGACATAATGCATTTTTTAGAGTTACTACTTATGGCCTGTTCTCTACTTCCTGTTACTGGGCGCACACACTGTTAAACAAAATAAAACTATCGCACACGCTCAGGAGACTTGCCTGAAAGAGGCGTAGGATGTTGGCAACCATGATCGACACCGAGCTCGCCGAGGCTCCGACGACTCCCACCACTTTTTCCGGCTTGACGAACACCGGCGCCTCCCCGTTCGTGCATCTCACGTCGGAAGTGTCCTTCGTGATCAGGGCCTGGACGAAAGTTAAGGACTGCTCCAGCGCGTAGGTATCCCTCGAGCAAGTGTCCAGCACCCGCGCGCCCAACATGATGTTGGGCAAGAGTTTCTCGTCCAGGTTGATCTGATCCAGTGCGTACATCATGGCCTCGAGCCGCTGGATGCCGTTCTCCTTCTTGAGGTCGCCGCACGGCGCTCCGTCGGCGCCTCTGGAGTGCACCGGGAAGAGCCCGCCGAGGGTCAGGTGGCCCTCGGTCCGTATCGAGTGGGGCGCGTAAGTCTCCTGAGGCAGCGCAAAATCCACCGCGGTCCGCACGAGCCACAACGCTCTCCACAAGGCGCTCAGCTTTACGCGCGAACCGGGACGAGCCATGATCAACTTTTCTTTTGTGGAGGGGGGGTGGGTGGTGATAAAGATTGGGAGTCTGAGAATCCACAGGAAGATATATAGAAAAAACAGAGAGGGCGAGGAAGTTTTTTGTTTTGTTTAAAACGAGCCCATAGTCGTTAGTGGAGATTCAACAAGCGGGGCTAGAGAACCGAGACGCAGTGGAGGACTCAGACGAACTGCGCCCATCGTGAGCGGCGCAGCTTGTTGAATAGCGAGGGCTCCTCACGGTAATCCGGAGACGAGAGGCTATACATCCATCAGTCAGAAAATATCTCTATTAGAAGAAGATAGAAGACGAGCTGGCCCTGATTTAGTCCATTTATAGTGAATCCAAAGAAACACAGTGAAGCTGCTGCTGAAGGATCTCCACAACATAAAAAAGCGGCAACGCAACCAAATAACACGCAGAGAACTGGGACCGATTCTCTCTCAGTAATACTTAGATGTTAGGGCCGGCAGAAGTGGGTGACATTCTTCCTCGTCTCGGACGAACTCCACGGGAGCGCAGAGGGGAGGAGGGGAGGGGGGGCGGCTCGGTCCGCTGTGGTGTCTGTCTCCCAAAGGGTGCATATCATCATCTCCACACCTCCCAATACAAATAAAAAAGCAAGATAACGAGCAGTATGCGCCTAAGAAAAAATAAAGAAAAAACACCCCCACACACACACCGCTAATTAAAGCCGCGTCTCTCGCTCGGTGTCCGCAACCGCTCGCATTTTTATACAAAATGAATGAGTCACAGCGAGGGATCCACTGCGCGCACAGTTTCCAGCCCCCTTTTCCTTACGAGACGTCACTCGGCTGGCGAGGGAGGAGAAAAAAGAAAAAAAGAGTATCATCAGTTCGTGGCAAAGGTTTTCAGGAAGTTGTGATCTGACCAGAAGGTAAACAAAGCGAACAGAAGCACTTATAGTTATGCATGGTATAAAACGACTGTCCCTCTGAGAGCGCGCTCTCCCTCTCCCTCTCTCTCCCTCCCTCCCTCTCTCTCTCTCTCTCTCTCCCCCAATCAACATCAAACACACACACCGCGCAAAAGTGAGTATTTTCCAGACAATGAGGCAGAGATCTGTGGTATAAAAGAGCTTCACGCGCCGGCTAATAAACTGCCCTTTTTTCCAGAAATAGTTTTGGATTCATTACCGGTGCACCTTTAAAACGGAGGGAGGAGGGAACGTACCCGTTTGGAAGGGTCCAGGCTGGTCTCCCAGGCAACCCTTCTTCAGTAGACACTCCTGATTCATCCTGTGCATGCACACACACTCGCGCGCGCGCGCGCCTCATGCTGGCACGCACCCACGCCCACAGACTGGTGAGAAGTAACCACACCTTTTTAGGAGCGAGGAAACCCTCACATCTTCCTTATACCAAAACTCTGTCATCACCAAACTGTGTAATTGCACAGATGGTGTTTTTTATAACAAACAAGCAGATTATGATCATTTGCTTGCAGTGGGCGTGCTCTACAGCCTCACTTGGCAATTTGTGGTTTAATTACAAAAATAAAGGTGTGTAAGGGGTGTAATTAAAATTTTGTATTAAACAATAAAAAAAAATTGTTGCTAATGACTGCTTTATTCACTCAGCCAGTTACTCAGATACATAATTCATGCAAGCCGTCGTTTACAAGTAAACCAGAAACTGACCTTCTAAACCAGCCGCCGCCACACATCCAACAACAGCCTCCCTGTTGGAAAAATCACAGGAGCACCCTGGGAAAACAGTCAAGCTAGAAATGGATTATGTGAGTCAGTTAAGTTGCTTGATCGTGGAGTAATAAACAGCCTCTGAGAGTTGCTTTATCGTGAAAATGATTATGAGGCGGAGAAATCCCATTTTATGAACATGCTCGTTGCATTCGTTTCTGTTCAATTAAAAGATTAGAAAAGGCGATGTGGCTCTAATTGAAACATGTCCTATTGACATTACAGGCTTGGACGGACACATTTCTAATTAATGAAGCTGAATAGAGTATTAATTCCAGCCTAATCCCGCCATGTAGTGTATTTATTCCCATTAGCCACGACGATTTTCGCGGGAACTCCAGGGCACGACGACGTGGGTGCACAAATCGAACGTCAAGGCCAAAAATTCATGAGCTGCAGCAAAAAACAGATGTATTTTAGGACATGTGTGTGGGAACTGCTGGGAAGAGACCGCCGAGGAGAGAAATGAGGGATGTGAGACGGGGAAGGCGGCAGATGGCCTCCTCCACTGTGAGCACGCAGAGACAGGCGGGTCTGGAAGAAAATGCAGCAACAGCCGCGACCAGAAAATGACAACCTGAGAGAGACCGAGAGAGTGTTGCTGCAGCGCAACACTGATTCCACCGCTCGGACTTCTGGAGCCTGACTCCCACTTACACTGTCAGCGGAAAGGTTACTTTTGAAAAATGGGGGCCCTCATCGTGATTAAATTCACTGACTGACCCCCAGGAAGAACGGGTCTCTTCTCCCCCCGGGAGGGAGGCTGTTAGATTTAGACTGAGATTACACTTTAGTTTGGATCTTCTCCCTCCCTCCCTTCCTTCCTTCCTTCCTTACACACACACACACACACACACACACGATAAATTCCATTTTACATACGCCGGGGAGGGAAGAGGGGGGGGCATCCCACTAGATGAATAACAAGCTCCTATGAGAGTCACCGGAGCTTTTGTTTAAGGCATTCAATAACACGTCTGCCTTGATGCAGTCTACTTGAAGTCATTTACAGCGCCGGCACCGTGTGCTCTCCTCAAAGAATGAAGAATCAGGGAACAATAAAAAAAAAAAAATCAACCTCCAGGACAAGAGGCAATGCGGATTCCCTTTTTTCGGGCCGACACTGTGCACAATGGGGTCCGTCCGTCAAACTAATTAACCCTGGAAACCTGCTTAATTCCCAGACTGGGATGAAAAGGGGGGCCGTCGTATCCACAGGAACGGAATACCTCCAGAGGAGGGAGGTAATTGCATGTCGGGGTGATTTGTTCGAAAGCAGGCAGGCCACCGAGCCCCGTTTGGAGTCATGCATATTCTGTGAGGGGTCAAGGTGTTAATGTTGGATCAATGTAGGGGCAATGTTCGATTAGCAACACGGAGGTCACTGAGCTGCCAGCCCCCCCACCCTGTGTCTCATTTTGCACCATCTGCTTTGGAATAATAAAATCCCTGCTATCTACACTTTTCTTCATCACTGTTGAGCTGAATCCACAAGGAGGGGGGGAAAGGAAAACATATTATAATTCTACTGGCGTGAAGACGAATTCTTACCTCTTCTGGCTGTTTATGCCAAAGACAAAGCAGGTGCTCTGCAGCTATAGGACGACAGGCTCGCCACGCTCTCAATTATGATCGTAATCCATCTGTCATACCGGCTCCCTTCTAATTACGTCTCTGTAAAGTTGCTGCTGTGAGCTCAGGACCCGTTCGCACTCTGAAATGTGAAAGATAGACAGATAAGGCACAAGTGGCCACCGGAGTACATAACTGCTGGGGGGGGAGCTTGGTAACAGGAGGGGGGGGCGCAAAGGTGTCCGCTCAGACGGTTACATGCAGAGATGCTGTTTTAGAGCAAAAATTTAAAGCGAGAAAAAAAGGGAATATTACCCCGCGAAAGTTTCAAGTACCCTGATTGGGTGGTCAGAGGTCTTATAAATGTCATTAATGGACCCTTGGGTGCTGACCTCCTCACCCACGCAGTCCTGGAACCTTCCAGAGGCCCTATTAGTGGGTGACTGGGCCATTGTTTTGATAGGTAACCTCACAGTCCGCTGGACTTTATGCGATAAGTGGGTGCAGCTGTGTGTTAGTTAGCCGGGAGGACTTCAGCCGCAGATTTGATTGCGAATGCCTCTCGCCTCGTGTCTGTTAATTAGCCGACCTTTCGAGCAGCTCTGGAACCTGTGTGAATGCTTTTAGCTCAAGTGTCTTCGTGGTGCATTGTGATGGAGGAGGTTTCATCCACAGTCTATGTGAATGACTCATAACAACCTCTCCCCATATGTGTGTGTGTGTGTGGGTGTGTGTGTGACCAGAGTACCTTTCTGCCAAAACCAAAAGAAACCAATGTAAACAAATAGTGTTTTAGCTCCAATAAATAATGTATGTATGGTAACATTTCACAATACAATAAAGCGGGCTGGTCTCACCCAGCATTCGTAGCAATACCTACGAAAAATAACTCACAGAATGTTTTCGCATGTTATCCACGTAGTCTCTAACGAAGACGTACAAAGACCGCCTTTCATCCAGGAGACCGCAGTTCGTTCCCCGCGTGAAACGAGAAGCCAACGTTCCGTAATTATTTTAACTCAAACAACAATCTTTTCCTAAAGGTAACCAAGTGCTTTTGTTGCCTGAACCCAACTGTTGTTTCCTGTGAAGACGGAAGTTTATTTTGAAAAGGCCGCATGCATTTATAACGAGCGGAAATTGACACCTGTTGCATGTTTTTGCAGTAAAAAATGCACGAAAAATGACATCACACCATCTGTTGTAGGAGGAAACGTTGACTAGAGTGGATGACATCTTTTTGTAGGCCAACCCAGACGTTAGCATCGCACAGTTTCTCTCGACAAAGAGCCAATGGGATTTTTTCAATTCGATTTTGGATAAAATAAAAATAAAAAAACATTTATGATACTTTCATGTTTTGTTCAGCGAGATAATTTTCACAAATGAACACCACTTTTATGATTTTTGAAGCGTTTATGCAATCCCTAACGTTAGATGTATAAAGAAACGACACCGCGGTCACATGAGCGCGAGTATAAACACAACGAGGCTGTGAAGGCGGGTAGTTGGGGTTGTGAAGTCTCATTTAGCCTCTTTTGTAAGACATGTAAACGCTTTAACAAAACATTAAAATCTCTTAAACGTGTTTCAGAGATCTAACCAGAAACCCTTTCAAAAAACCCGTCGACTTCAAGACGAGGGACTGGAAGTGACAAAAATACTGACTCGTTATTTAACACTGCAGAACTCCTAAGTAGTTACCAAGAAACAACAAATGGAATGAATCATGGACTTAATGATTTAAAACATAAATAGATCAAATTACTTACATTACAGTCACTGTGTCCATGCGTCCTCAAGTAAAGTGCTGAATCGCACCGTGTAGTTACATCTTTCTTGACGTCATGATTCTTACAGTAAAGCGTCGTCGTTTTTCCTGGAAATTCACAGTTAGTTTGTTCACAACGAAACAGGCAGAATTCAGAGAAAAAGATGAACAACCTGCACTGTGATAAACATCGGGACATTTTCTACCGTACAATGTGTGCCGCTGAAGTGTTTTGATCTACGATTACCATTTTTATTCATCTGTGGTTTGCTCTGGTTTTCAATTGATATCTGTCATCGAGATAAACATTGAGCAGCAGTACGAGTGCTTTGCACAAATACAGACGCTTAGTTCTGAGGATGTTGAGGCTCTGCACTCATAGGACGCGACACAGAGAGATACGCCCAGCTGGACGAATGTCGCCGTGTTTTTAACTTGCCAAAGCAATCCTCGTGTCAATGAGCGCGTATACTGCAGATGGACCTCACAACCTCATCTCTTTCACGTTGGCCTGCCAGCTTCCGCGCTGTTTATTCATTTCCATCTATGGTTCTGGCAACTGGGGAATATGGCCATAATCATCTATCACGATACGGGCCATTTAATATCTCGATCATGATGTATATCACAATATAGCGCGTTTTCAATAAGTAAACAGTCTAAATGACTGGCAGCTGGTCTCATACGATCACAGTGACGTATTTCTACAAGCCTTCCTTCAAAAGTATCATTGCTTTCTAAAATACTCGATTCATTGCAAACGAGCTCATTCCTCCATTTCTCACGTGGACTTCATGCTGGTGAAAAGTGTTGAGAGTGTGTGAGTGGATTACGCCCGTGCTGCTCGAATTAACTGCAGTGCCGTTTGTGTTGCAAAGAACATATTTTCTTCATCTTACACAGCTCATTAGCATACGGAGCTGCTAGTGAGGACTGCGGTGGAGGGCAGGCCTACTTATTTCAGATAAGTGCCCCTGCAGCCTTCAGAGTTTGAAAAGCATTCACAACAAAAACACACACACACAGGCACACACACACACACACACACACACACACACACACACACACACACACGAATTTGCTT